GTAAAAATATACTATTTATTTAATAAACTTATTTTATTGCTTTAACGTTGAATTTCATTGGCTTTTCATTTAGAAGTTTGTACTTAAAAGACCAGCAAAATAAAGTGTAACTACAATATTTTGCTAATAAGAAATATTCTTTGTTCGTCTTATTCAATACTAGAATAAACTATAAAAATTGAATTCGCTAAAATTTGATTAATTAAATCAAATCTCTTGAATATAGTAATAGTTATAATCTTATATATATTGTATCTTAAAAAACGATATTAAAAAAACTTATATTATCATATAAACTTATAACAATCTCAATTTCAGTCTCATTATATCACCAATGTTCAGGCTTTCTAATCTCTATTGACCCATAAATTTTTCTCAGGACTTATCTTGCTTCTTATATAATCTTCATAATTTCCCATAACATTTTTCTTAAATAATATAGTAAAGCGAGATACAAGCTCAGATTTGCGAATCTGTGTTTCATGTTTTGAAATTATTGAACTATATATTATCAAACACTCTTACTACTAAAAATCAATTTATATATATATATATATATATATATGCCATTAGCGGTTGGAATTACGTGGCGTCAGATAGAGTATGCCATTAGAAATAGACTCCAAGTTAAAATTGAATAGTGAAACGTGACTTTTCTTTTTTTAATTTGTTTGAAGTAACGCCTTTTGAAAAATTATGATCGTTTTATTAATTTTATTTATTGTTTTTCCTAAATTTTATTAATAAAAATAAAATATGCTGAAGTAAGGAATTAAAAAAAATACTGTTACAAGTATTCTGAGATATATTCTTTATACTTTATTCATTTTATAAATACATTCTGGTTCATTTTATTTAGCTAGTTTATTATTGGTATTATAAAATAATTAATATTAATAAAATTTATTGTTAATATTAATATTCTTTTTTTTTTAATTTGTAGATTGAATTTTGCTTCTTGTTATATTATACACTTCCGTTAAGGATAAAGAAATAATAATAATAATAAGTTTCAAATATATAAAGTGTTATTGTTTATGAAACTAATAAATGTATTTAAAATATATTATCATTTAATCATAAAAATGAAAAGAAAACGATTATATAAAAATAGTAAATAAAAATGTATGAAAATTCTCATTTAACGAAGCGCAATATTAATAGCGAAATTTAACGAATTTAAATTTAAATATTTGAAAATCAATATTAATATAAATGTTATTATAAATTTTTCATTAATACTTTAAAATAATATTTATTTGTAATTTTCTTTCCGACTTATATTAATGTAAAATTGATAAACATTTAATTACAAATTCCAAAATTCATTACTCTATTCTTTTGTTCATTGTTTCCCCTTTTCACCCTAGATCACAACCCTTCAATTTTTATCAAATTTACTCGATCCAATTATTCACTTAAAGATTTGACTCCACTTAATTATAAAGTCTCGAACCATATTCCCGGAAAGGTTTTCCTCTGGATGTTAATGCTCTCTCTTTCCCCACTTCTAGGCAAGACAGAGCACATCGCGAAAAAAAGGAATTATATGCAGGGGGAACAATGCTATCGATTCCACGCAATCTCCTTGTTCTTCGTCATCGTCCTCCTCCGCGAACGGCGTTCTCACGTTTTTTTTGAATTTTCTCTTACGCGTCTCGGCTTTTCTTTACCTCCTAATGATGCTCCCCGTTTGTTTATGGATTATGAAATGACAAAACTTCCGTGGGTCTTAGTTTTCAATTAGCATTCCTTGGATAACAATGAGCTTATTTTTGGTTCGTTATCAAACTGACCTTACATTAAATTAGTAATGATAGAATTTTTTTCGTATGTAGAATAATTTTAATATCCGTAAAATATTAATTTATATGTAATTAAACATTTTCTATTTATCCATAAATCTTTATACGAATTACTGTATATATAATGTAAAGAATCAAGAATAAATCAGTAAAAACTTCTTTATTATCTACACAATATATTACAACAAAAAGACAAGTTCAATATAAATAATAAAATATAAGACAGTGATACGTTCGAAACTTCATTGTTCATTTATTCATGTTTTACTTTTTATTAAAAATTTTTTTTCTGTTTTCTATTCTCTTGTTGAATACTAAATATAACGATATATCTGATACATTCCCGACATATAATAACTTATTCTAACCATTAATAATAATTAATATTATTAGAAACACGAAACTCTTCGTTTATATTTATTCGATAGCCGTTTGTACACTATGTAAAATAACCAATTATCAGCAACTTAAAGGTCCAAATTTAAAATAATAAAATATTTATAATTTAGTATATCTGAAATTTATTACACTGCTTATTAAATTATACAACTGCAATTGATTCAGTATTACTTTCACATGAATACGCCAACTTTTTTTAATGAATTCTACTATTTTCAATAAAGCTTCGATTTGTTTGGTGAAAAAGGTGCAATCAATCAAAGAAATTAAATTCGCGCGTACGTCACTCCAAGCAATAATGCATTCTAACAAATTGCTCCTTCGTCAATTCATTAAAAGATTTGCACTGCGCTGAAATGTTACACAGTTACTAGTTTTTATGTCATGGATACTGTCCTTTGGCGGATACAATTACGACATAATAAACATGAATGAATCAAATGTTAATATTTCTCACCTGCTAAATGTCAGTATAGTGTTTCGCTATGCAGTTTACAAATGTATGAATGGAAAAAAATGTTTATGTTTAACTACTTATGCAAAATAAGAAAAATTAGTCTGATCATCTTATTTGCTACTCATGTAAATATTAATTTACATCAGTATTAAAAAAATATTGTTATTGATTTCTACGTCTTAAAGTATAAAATTTTACTAAAATGAATATATTTCATAGTATCCAATTGAAATAAGCAATCGATACAATTATGTCAGTTATGTGCGTTTCATCAAACCTGTAAATTAAGTCTAAAATGTATGAGTAATAAATTAAAATATATATATACTATATCTATGGAATATAATATTATGAATCAAATTTTTGTTTAATTTATTTTATAATTTATTTAATAAATATAATAGTTAAATAATAAAACATTATTTTAATCATTGAGATAAATGATTGTCAAATAAAAAATATATTCATTAATTTATATTATTGTTTATATTTTTTGCACAAAAGACTTCAGGATTACATTATATATATATATATATATATATATATATATATAATTATTAGTGTTAAATTCCTTGTAGTCAAAATCTACATATATACACATTAGAAAAAAATTTATAAATATTTTAAGTGTATATACAAACATCCCATTTATTAGTGTAAATATTATTCAAATATTTAGAAATTTTGCATATAAATGGAATTAGTACAAACATTTAAATATAATTTATTCGAAAAAAAACTAAACGTTTAAGGCCGATGTGTCCTTGTAAGTTTAAATACATTTGAGGTATCCTTAAAGCAAAAGAAAGAGATTGAGAAAGGGTAGGAGGAAAGAAGAGGGATGAATCAGTTCCAGGAAAAAAGAAGAAATTCAAGCGAATAAGCCTGTCAATAAGAAGAGAAATAACGGAAGTCGGGGCAATTCCTTTTGAAAGAGAATTTTTCATCCTTATCCGATTAGTAAGGCGTCAGTGCGTTTACAGCACTTGATTTCCAAGCAGCTGTTTACAATCTTCGGGATACCAACCAGATCTTTTTATTTTTGAAAATCGTCATTGTTATAACAATCTAGTAAGAATAGTATTTCACTTTTTAAGATAAATTAATAAATGTATTTATGCGAAGATGTCTTGTTTTTGGAATATTTGTCGACAAATTCTCTGTTAAATAGTGATGATAGAAGATGCATTTTTAATAATGACAGGTATATTATAGACTAGAAAATACATTTACTGTAATTATAATTAGAAAAATTAATATCTAATTAAAATAAAAATGTTATTATATTATATGACATTTAATTTTAATTCAAACTATCATGTTTGTTTAAGAATTAAAATAGAAACCGAAAATTTTATTTTCGTTTAAAGAATAGAAAAATATACATGCTTTAGGAGGGAAGATTGTTTTATCATTTTTCATAATCATAAAAGAAACGTTTTTTATAAATCAATTATCGAAGTATTTCCATTATTAAAACTAAAGTTTCGATTCTATAAGTTTTAGTATATATATTTTTGTTATATTTCACTCATATCAGATATGTTGTTAAATTAATTGGAAGAATATTTGAAAATAACCTCCACAAATCCTGACTTATAAATAATATATGTATAGTTAAACTCTAGTAATTCAATTATCATTATTACGTAGCTACACGTGGATGTTGATACTTATTGAAGCAAATATCAATTCGTTTCACTTTCTTTTTTAATTATATTATTTTCCTATATTTAACTGAGTATAAAATATTTAATTCAAATAAAGTTATTTAATAATACCATTCTGGTGAATGTAAAAACATGAAAAACTATTTTTGAATTCTATTCAAATGAATACCATTATCTTGGAAAATAATTCATTGTCAACGCGATTGATCACCGTTTCGATATTATTTAATAAAGTCTCAGTGGCATTATTATTATATCGTGCACACTTATACCTTTCACAGTTAGGTTTCGAATCTTTACCTGCAATCTGGGGCACACTTTATACCCTATTTATTCACATTTGCTTATAAGTTGGGCAAAGTATTCTTGTTTTCAGTCATTTGAAACATGGTGTTATACCCATATTGTATCTATTATAATTTGCTTGTTTTATGCTTGTCATTTCCCACCGAATTTTATTGATCATTATTTTTATACAACAAAGTTCAAATACCGTTATTAAATCTTAAGTGTTCCTTATTATTTGAAACTATCTATATTAAGCGAAAATAGCTTCTAATGTGATTATAATTATTATATAACTTTTTTATAATAATGAATATTTGTAAAAGAACTGTAACGTAAAAATAGAATTTCTAATTATTTTTATAATTAATCATTTTATTTCAGATATCCGGAACGAGATGCTTTATCAATATTATTTTCATCCTTCTTCTACCAAATATAGTCGCTTCAAAAGGTAAGCTTTTAATTATTTATCAATATTTATAGCTTTTAATTTTTTAATTTTTTTAATTTATAATAAATAATTTAGCATTTTAGATCTGTATAGAACGAATAATGTATTACAGAGATAATGTTGAAACAATAATTATAACTATCGTTAAAGTTTATAAGTATCAAAATTGAATTAAATGCTAAATCACCATAGTTAGGTAATAAAATCCTACTACAGTGATTTAATTCTGGACTCCAACTTTCACACACATGTCATTATAGAACTGTATATTTTAAAAAACTGTTTTACTTTCTCCAACTAAATCTCTAAATTCAGAAACTTTCTTGAATAAATTACCGTGAATCACTATTTTGTATACATTCAATAGTAGTATAAAATAAGAATAGCAAATTTAAAAAATGTAGAATGGTAATTAATGAGATACTGATAGAATTAATATGAGAAATGTATATTAGTAGAATAATAATATAAATTAGTAGAATAAAAAGTAGGAAAATAATATTATAGTATATAATTTACCAAATAAATAAATAAAGTTAATAAATATTTTTCTTTTATAATATTCGAAATTACCGATTTAAAGTATATGTGTACATTAATGAAAAAAGTTTATAAGTTTAATATATTTTGAGAATCCACATTTAATTTAAAAATAATATGTATTAATGAAGTTGTTAAAAGTAAAATTTCTTCGTAGAATTCAAATAAAAGTGATAATAAAACAAGCTGAATTCACTCAGCAAACTTAATTTAATTTCTTTAATTTGTTTTGTAAGTATTTATGAACGTTCTTCATTACATTAAAAATTTATAGTATCTTTACATCGTTTATACATACTATTTTAATTTTTTTAAAATAAATTAATTATTCTATTTACTTTTCTTATTTTATAGAAATTTTATAAATATCCGTTTACACGTGTTACGTGCGTTGGAGTTGAATAATAAATCAATTTATTACATTTCTTTCTTCATCTTACTAGATACTTTTAGGTCGAGCAGCAATTTACTTTTTTATTTAACATATGCTCGAACAAAAAATTATTAAACAATTCAAAGATAATTTAAATAAATAAGAAAGTTGTTAATGAAGTAATGGTAGGCATAAGATTTTTATTATTGTATGATAAAATCTGGAATTTTATGAAGGTATTTCTCAAGGTCAAACGTTCTGCAAATATGAAAATAAATCTGAAAAACGACATTCTTACTTACTGCAACCCTGTACATCTATTACTTGATTACATTTTTTGATACTTTTTTTTAGGCTTATAGGCAATTATTTTACTAATTTCACAAATAGAGTAAAATAAATTTTATTAAGACAAAATCATTGTCTTTATTATGAAGGGGTATTTATTTACATTTATTTTAAATATCAAGGATATTTGTTAATTCTATTATTGTTTCGGTATTTACACATTTTCCGAAATCGTAATTTAACTTTTTTATTCAATAATGCTCGAATACTAGAAAGGTTAAGAATAATAAAGGTGTGAATAAAGGTTTTATGTTTCTTTTCAAAATTAAAAAATAATAGTTTAATAATTATTTAAAATGGTTTTATCTGTATATGATTACTATGGTCATCAAATATAAGTTACACAATATAAGTAGAATATAAAGTAATAATAAAGTATATCACGGGACGTTTAAAAACTACGATTATTCAAAATATTATTTTCTTAGTAGGTCTGTACACGTTTTCTTAACTTTAATAAAATTGTATGTTAGATTTTATAATGAATAAACATTTTAGATGTGATGAATTAATTTTTACTTAAGCTAGAATTAATTTTGATTGGAAGAGTTTCTAAAACTTTCAATTATAAAAATAAAGTATAGAAATTAACAAGTATTATCGTTTATCGATGTGGAAAGATTTTTTCTTTTGATATATTTTGTAATTCTAAAATTTCTATTTTAATTTGCTTATTTAAGACGAAATGATAAATAAATGTAATGTTTTAATTTTATACAATTTTGGAGATTTGTAACTTCGGAAGTGTTGACTAAATGAAGTGATTCATATTAAGAAATTTAATACTTTATAAAAGTTAAATCAATTAAAATGAATATTTATATATAAAATTTATATATAAAAAAATTAAATAACTAATAAAAAGATGTGTAATTTTAATATTCGATTTTAATGACTATGTTTTAATAGTCGATAATATTTCATCTGCACTTTTCAATTATTATTTAAAAAATAATATTGGAAAGGTTTTGAAAATTATACAATATGAATGGGAGAAAAATGATATAATTATATGAATGCTTATTTAATACTATAGAAATAAATTCACTTATACATGTAAGATATGATTGAAACGATTGAATGCAAATATATGAAATTAAATTAAAATTACAAATCTTCTTTATATGTGTATCATATTAGTGGATAGCCAAAAATTATAATGAATATTCGTATCTTCCTATCGCTCTTTCTTTTATCAATCTAATGCATCTCTTTCCTTTTAAGTATATTATCGGTTGCTCTAAAGTATAGCCATCACCTCGCAGAAAGAGAAAAGTAATAAAAAGATGAGAAAAATACCTCCCTCCATCGTAAGATATCTGGTGAGCATTCACCACGGGAACGCGGAGTACGCCTTTGTCCTCGTACCTGTGCGACCTCGATGTCTCCCCTCCCCCGAATTATAGTGGCGAATGGGACCTGACCCCGCGTGGGTGTACTTTCTAAATCTTGAGCTTTTGGTGAAGCTTTATACAAGCTTGAATTACAAGCCGACTCACAAACTTTAAATTTAAAATAATCATATAGTCCTTTGCGAATAGATTTTCTTTTAATTAATATGATAGTACTGTATAGATTGTTACATTTGTATTTTAAATTATACCTATATTTTATTAATTATTCCATGTACAATTGCAATGAAAAAAATTGTTATTTCAAATAAGCATACAAATAATTTTAGAATTCCATTCATAATCTTCAGATTTTATGCGTCTCTATCGAGCAATTCTACATGTATATATAAAATAGAAAAATTAAAGGTATTTAAAGGTATTTCTAGGTAATTAAAGGTTTTATTATTAACAAAGCATTATGCTTGCATATTCAATTAATCGGTTAGAATAAATATATTTTGCTTTTTTAATTATATTATTATTTATATTTGATATGAATTAAAATGTATATATAATATATAATATATATATATATATATATATATATATATATATATATATATATATATATATAAAAAAATTAAAAAAAAAAATATATATATACATATATATAAAACCACAAATATTAATTAAATAAATAAAAATAGTCTTTTTAATAATAGAACCATTAATTATATATGTATTAATATTTTAAAACCATATTGTACAATTGGATGGCTAGTTTGACTCTTCATAAAATATTCGAAAATATTTAAATTCGGAAATATGATTAACTAACAAAGAAACAAATGCGAAACAATTCATTTTAATAGAAAACATTCGATTTTCTTAATTCTTATATTAAATTCTTCGAATTTACTAGGTTATTTTAAATGATAAAAGATAAAACTATCTATAAATTTGTTAAAATATTAATTACCGAATAAGAAGTTTTGTTCACTCGTTCTATAAATAATATTTGATAAAACATTAGTTGCATAAAATAAAAAATTATAATATTCAATTTAATTAATATTCAATAATACTTACAAATATAAATAATTGAAATCACAGATGTCTTTTTATATAGTGTTTTAATGAAAATATATATATTTTATATTTGCTCCGAGTTTTATTTCTTGTTCATTGCATCATATAATTTTGCAATTACCAACGACAACTCTAGCGTGAAAATGATGCTATATGAAATTAATCTCTATTAGTCCTTTATAAAATTACGTCATATCGTGAAATTAATTACTTAATTATTTATCCCAAATTAGATTTGTCCTTAAATAAATGTTTAATGTTTTCATCTATATTAATTTTTTTATGTTAAAAATAAAATAGCATCCCATTACGATGCAATTAACGATTGAAAATCTTGTTGCTTTTAAGAGATACAAATACATTAATTTTTCAATAACCCGTTGAAAATCTATTTAACATTTTTTGATACGGCAATTATTTTTAATTACCAATGCTTTAATTAAAACTTAAATTCAGTGTCTGTTTTATGGCCTATATAATAACATCTAACTTGATTGAAATCGTACTTTCTCCTTCAGTACATCCACGTGTACTGAAAGTAACAGATGGTAAAATACCTTCACTTTGGTATGTTGGATTGTCATAACAAATCGCAAGTATCGCGACGTGGCTTATTATCCATTGGGACAAAGGACTCGAACAGGTGGAGAGACTTTTTCTCGGCGTGGGTGCGGTTTGAAAGTTTCTGAGCGAAAGTACAGTTGGACGACGAGGAGGGGTGTGTGTTGTAACACGGAATGCTTTACACTGGTGATAAGTACTTTGCGCATCGAATACATTCACCTATGTTACTGAAGCCAGTTGATATTAAAATAATACTAATCATTAGAAATCAATACCTATGTAGCATATATGGTCATTCGATGAATATTATAGTCGACTTACTTTTAGAATATGAATTTACGAATGTCAAGTTCTGCATTGTCTCATCCTTAAGTATAATGGCAGATATGTTTGTATCAGGATAAACAAATTTTTTACTCAAGTTGCACAAAAATATTTTATATACATTTAATTTATAATAATTATGCTTTCTGAATGAAAAAAATGTTTATATTCTAATGTCACGTTTTGATAATATTATAACTGAAAAAACTAAAATAATTTACATCAATTGTATGCACTTAAATGTGTAATGTCAGTAAGAACAAATAAGAAATTAATAATAACTATGCAACTGATTTAAATAAATAATATCTGACAACATTCCTTCATTTTCTCGATTTAGTATTAATTAATATTTTAGGAATTATATTGGAATATTACAGATCAAAAGTAAAGACAAACTTAAGATAAAAAAGTAATCTTACTGTAATAAAGTAAGTTAATAAAAAACAAAATTAATGGTTTTGGTATTCTAAACCAATCATCTGAGAATTATATAATTTTTTTCATTATTATTTGATCATGATTTAATTGTTTAGTACTATCATCGTACAGGGTATACTTTCTTTTAATTCTGGATATATTTTCAGTATTAACATTTAAAAAATAAATAAATATACAAGATAATATTATCGCGAATGAAAAGAGTATTTATTACACTGTATTGTGTTTATTAATAAATATTAACATATTAACTTTTCAAATTTTCTAAAAATCTACTCCGAACATACTATAAATTTAAATTAGGTAATTAATATTAATTAATATTTAATTAAGCATGTACTAATTAATTTATTGATATTAATAAGTAATAGTTTAATAAACTGATATTAATTATAGAAACGTTTTTAGGATTATGCGAGTTGGAAATTGACCAGTCGAACATCATTCTTGACATAGAAGAGAGTAGAGGAGATTGTAAGTATACAGTATTATTCTATCATTATTTGCAAAATGATTATTCCATTAAAATTTATATATATATACTTAAATTCGATTCGATTAATATTTTAGATATACTGAAAATGGATGCAATAATATTTATATCTTATATATTTATATATTAGTTTTGAATAAAAACTTCATACTATAATTTTTACAATCTATAATTTAGATTGATGGTTTTATCAATTAAATGATTTAAAGTTTATTCTTCTTCGTCACATACTGTGTGTATTGCATGAAAAGAAATTGAAATTTAGTTTATACTTATATATTCTTAATAATATAACTTTTAAAAAATTATGAAAAGGACAAAAAATATGTAAATATGTAAGAAATATTGTGTATAACTTAATTCATGAAACACTCTCGATTATTAAAAGTAATAAAGATTATTTTCTTCTTTTTATTTGAATTAAATTTGTTAAGTACTTTTAAAATTAAAAAATGCTAATATTAGAATATAATTCATGCAAATAAAGAGTAGTATTTCATTTTTTCTTCTTACATCAATATAAATAGATATATTCTAATTATTATATAGTATAATTATTATTTGTTTACCGTATTATTTTATTTTATCTCATGTGTTTATCTGTACCTAGTATAATAATAATATTAGCTTGTCGTGTATTAGTTACAAAAAATTCGTAATAATATAAGGACTTACTGCTATTATTTATTCTATTATTTCTGTTAAATAAAGAAAGGGACGTTTTCAGTTTCTTTATTTTTTAATTTTTATTAATTTAAGCATAAACAGTTTTCATTTCCTTCGAAAATTTGTATATAGAAACCATCGTTATCGGCAATCTTATTGGGATTCATATTAAAAGTCATAATATTTTCATTCGTCTCGTATTATTTTTCTGAATTTGCAAATAAATATTTTTTTTCTTACGAATTTTGTTTTAGAAAAATAATAATGTTTATATAACAAATAAATATAATTTCTTATTTTTGAGTTCTTCGGAGTATCGGATTCATATAGAATGTTTGTTAAATGATAAGCAATTTCTTTGCTCACAACATAATTTATATTTATGGTACAAAAAAGTTCTGGAAAAATTATAATATAAATAAATTATAAAAGTAGTGTTTGTTTTGCACATAAAAATTATTAATAGGTATTTTTATATTTATATGAATACATTCAATGATATAAAATTTGTTGTTTGTATCTCAAAATAAAATAACACGAGTAATCTACATATTATATAAATGTTAAATTACATCTTGTTCTCATAGTATTATTATATTTGTTTTTTGAATGACAATGTTTCAATTTTGTATATGATTTATACTTAAAAGTATATTATAATGGAATGAGTAATAACACTATTTACTAATTTACTAATTTTTAATGAATAACAATTATAAGTACAATATATATATATATATATCTTACAATTTTACATATATTTCTTACAGTTTTTGTATCAAATAGTTTTAAATTACTTTTTATATATAAAAACTATGTATTTTAATAAATATTCTTTGTAGATTTTGTCTAAATAAAAACTTAATATATTTTATAATCTAAATAATACATATAACGGTAATATATTTTAAAATCTAATTTAGTGATTTGATAAAATGAATTTGATAACGAAAATTAATAAATTTGATAACTAATTTTACATAGTTAATTATAAACTGCATTGAAACTAAATATTAATAATTAGTGGATTATTAAACTTAATAGATTACCAAATTAATTATGTATAAATGAATACGGAATTCTATATTATTTAAAATATTTGTAATGAACTTTCGTATATGGATACTGTACATTCATATTGAAATTAAATTAGTGTATTTCATATATTTTCATAAGATATCTCTTTATCAAAAAATTGCTCTAATATTTATATACAATTATAAACAAAAATGAAAAATATACGGGAAGATTTAAGACTACTTATAATTGAATGTGCAAAATAAGTTGTTAATACGATTGGCTATAAGCTGCAATTGCAGGTTTCAGAATTATTCTTGAAAATTGAATAAAACATTTACGAATGCAATACTTGACTAATTAATATTAATATATTGATATATATTAGAATGCTCATATGCATTATTTTGTTCTCAGCTGTCGATCAAGAAACAGTACCCGCTGTGCTCCCCGTAAAAGGCGACCCGCGTAACGAAACCATCTTGGAGCTTAGTGCCTCTAGCCGTCAACCACTTTTTACTTTGGATGGCAAGAAGCTGAAGCTTATACGGCCTCTTGACAGAGATGATGAAAATCTTTCGCACGTTGTTTTCCAGGTGAGTGTGGCCGCGTCACGTAAAATAAATATCGCAGAGACGACAATATTCTTGAATTGGATAAGATGCTCGATGAATTATTTATTTCACATACTCTTGCTGAAAAACATATATTTTTTTTTATTAATAATGGTGCCTTGGAGTTAAAGTACCAAATCACATCATTTACATTTATTTGAAACATAACCAATATTTACGCCAATGTTTGATAATACTTTAATATTCTAAAAGATAGTTTGCTGATATGGTATGGTATAAACAATTAGTCCAATATAAAATTACTAAAAATGTTGAATGACTCTAGATTTTTGTTGGCAATAAGTAATATCAGCTCGTTAGTTGCATAATATACAGATTATGCGAAGTTGTTTGGACAATTATACGACTTAGTTACACTTTATCGAAACATTTTTCTTCAATAGAATTTTGCAGAGCATTTAATACTCAAGCATTCATGTATTTCTGTAACATTTTAAATTTTAGTACATTCGTTGAAAATGTCACTTATATCAAATTGCTTCACATTCTTGACGATCTCTTTAAGAATCTTAACATAAATGCTGATGCATTACGTATACACACCGTACATTCATGATCCATTTATAATTTCAAACTTGGAGATTATTTCAATTAATTGACTAGACTATTGAATTATTTATATGGTGTTTCAAGAAGTGAAAATTATTTCATAAATTAAAAATTTTAGACGCGTGAATCGCATATTCCCATCTCTATAAAAAGCAAAGTCCTGTTAGCGTAATTCACAGTTTCAACGATTTGACCGTCAGGCGTTGCGCGTGCGCGAAATTTTCGCCAATCTCCATGGGTCATCGCGCCTCACGACTGCAAATAAATAGTACAAGAGACGTCGATATGGAAATGGCTGGTCACGTGCAGTCGACGTTTTCCGCCCTTATCTGACGCTTCTTATGTGTTGTGTATGTTTCGCACGGCTTACTTTAGAGTGAAAATTTATTAGGCCTCTATATTGGTATATTTCATTTATCGTCACCATTATTTCGATTCTCCATGTTTCTGTAGTATGCTTAAATTAGAAGTTGAACATAGATTTTTATGAACTGAGACAAATGAATACCTTTATTGTTTTGTAAATAATCTTTTTACACCTTACATTAAATAATTATAATTTTAGAACATAGATTAAAATTAAGTATCATTACTTTTATTATTCTGTTACTAGTAATTAATTTCTTAATTTGATATCATTATTTCAGTATATTATTATGAAAATACCTTTTTTAAAAATATAATTTAATAATACATCTAGAATAAAATAAACATATATCAGAATAAAAAAAAGCATTTAATAATAGTAGAATTATTTTGTTATTATTGAAATAACAATTGATATGCTTTGAACTATGCTTTGACAACACAATGATGAAAACAATAATTTTCATAAAATTAAATTTTGGTAATTTCTCTCAAAATTACTATCTAAATTTTTTTTCGAATTCAGTTCTGTGAAATTGAAGTTAAAGCTATAAATGTTCAATATTCTTTACTTTTATGTTAATGTACTTTATATAATTAAAATATCCATTACACTATAAATTATAGTAGAGAAAATTAACTACTTTAATTAAATTTTATAACGAAAAATGGAAATTGAATCTCATAGATTGGTATAGTATTGTATTTTAAAAGTATTTAAATGTTAAAAATTAAGAATAAAATTACAAATGTAATTACAAATACAATTGCAACTTCAGTAGATATTTAATAATAAAATTTATAAAAAATTATTATTTATTATAAAGCTGTAGTCCTTTAGTAAAATTTCAAAAATTTTGTAATTTTAGAAATAAATATGCCTTTTATTTTTTAAACAATTAATTTCTTTGAATATCGATAGCTTGATGATTCTGTATAATACGTAGATAATAATGAAAAAATATATTAAAGAAATAACGTAAATTTATATTTTTAATAGTGCAAGTCACAAGTAGAATTTATGTAAACCACTTATTAAATAAAAGGGTAAAATTTAAATTCATATTAAATCATTATTAAATGTAAGAGTAAAATTTCTAAATTGAATTATTCATGCTATTCATTCTATTATATATTTAACAATGTAAAAATTGAAATGAATTAAAATTAAAAAATTTTCTTAATAATCTTAAATACATTTAATAATTAAAATATTAAAGAAGGAAAATCCAAAAACATTGTCAATTTAATCTGCAAACTTGTGTGAATACTTAGTAGACAGCTTAAATAGACACCAAATTTTCGAGAATAGTTATATAAAAGTTCCAAGCGTGATGTCAAGTGCATATTTCCAAATTATACAACCGCTATATTTTATGATTTAAGAACTATTTGTAAAGATTTTCAAATATAATATAATTAATTATATTATGAAGATTTTTGTTCACCCATCGGCTTGTCTTTCAATCATTCGTTCAATCATTACTGAAGATTTTATAATTATTGATAAAACATATAATTTTTTAATTATTCATTTAGTATTTATGTAAAGTTATAAAAATATTTTAATTAATATTTACATAATGCTGGATGCATAATTGAAGAAAATTAGAATAATGTTAATTGATGTTGCAAATAAATTTTCAGATGTGTGCAAGTAAATATGGGGCATTGTAAAATAAGTACATAGATAATTACTTTCTAAGGATAGGATTTATCTAATGCACAAAATCCATTTGCCACTCTCACCCTCTCCCATTCTCTCTTCTCTCTCTCTCTCTCTCTCTCTCTCTCCTCTCTCTCTTCCTCTTATGACTTATTTGGTGGGTATCAATGTAGGGGGCGTGTTCACCAAGAGAAAGGACGAATCGTAGTTATGGAGGTTCTAAGTCAGACCCAATCAAATTTATTGGGGTTTTAGTTCGATCGAAATTCAGGCCAAAGAGATAGATGAGTCAGAACCAACATAGCGTAACCATTCCCTACTCTATTTTTAAATTTGTCAAGTGCTAAGTAATTTTTCATATAATAAGTCAATCAGATATCCCTGTTTTATAAAGAAAAACCTTGAATAAATATGCTTTTTATCATCAATTTTCATTCCTAGTAATGTTATGAGCTGTTACAGAAGCTTTTTTATGTGACAAATTTAAATAAATTGATAAAAAAAAATTTTTTCTACGAAAATTTTACTTAATTATTATAATTAATTTATTTAGATTTTTTATTCTGTTGTATTCGATAATATTGTACGAAACTTACTTGATACAATTTTTATAATTTTTATATTTTTCTTATACAAATTTATTTCATATTTTTATATTCCTAATTTGTATTATATTGCATATATCTAATTAACAAGTTTTATAAAAAGAGATCATAAGATTTTAACAATATTTTTATGATAATATGTCAAAATTAATAATAAGTTTTCAAAAGATTTTAAGTTGATCTGATTTTAAGTGTTTAATATTGTAATAAATACGTAAAAATAAAAATTTTAAATTTTATAGAAATTAATTAGATTAATTTATAATTAATACTGTATTTAAAATTTTAAATTGTCTATGTATAATTAAAGTTAATACACAATTAATATATAAAAAAAAATTTACAGTCCAATAATTATAAATACATATAAAAATATTTGCTCATTTTGTTTTTTAGCTGAGCTGCACCGTCAGAAAGACAAATAGCAATCGCAAAATTCCTGTGATTGTGAGGGTATCGGATGTCAATGACAATGTACCAAAATTCGTGAATACACCTTATGAAACGACGGTTTCTGAAGTAAGTATTTATATATTTTGTATTTTTCAAGCGTTAATTTTATAAATTACCAATACTTTACCATATTTGAAAAAGCATGTATTTTATCTGTGTACATTCCTCAAATTTTAATATATAATAATAATATTAATTAATTGCCAAAAAATTTTTGATATCACTAAATATCGTATTTAAGTACAAAATAAAGAATATCGTTATTATCTGGCAATAATAATGTAGTATTTATAAATAATTTCACAACAGAATTTCCAAAAAGAATTAAAAGGAAAAAAATTTCTTATATAATATTGTCCAAAAAATAGACTTATGATTTATGGAGATATTTTGTAATAAAAATCTTATAAATTAATTAAAAATTAACTTATTTCTATATTAAATTCTCTCCATACATTACTTTTAATGGGCGATGAAAAATATTCCTACGTTTTTCATATATTGGCTTGATTTTTAAATGATTCGAATAATTAATTTCCCAGGCAATATTTAATTTATGCCATTACTAAAAATTAAATTTCTTAAATAATGTTTTATGCTACATATACCTTCATTTCCTGTATTCTTGATTAATATTGTGAAATATATTCTAAACGTTTAATCGAATTCTTGTAACTGTTATTGTAAACATTTATTGTAATTTCTATTGTAGATATTCATAGATAAACAGTATTATCATTGATTTTTCTGATTCAACGTATAACAGTTTTCTATATAATCTGAGAAACCAATGATATCTAATGATTTTATTAAATATACATCAATTATTTCATAAATACAAAGAATCCAGTAAATAAAATGTAAAATAAAATGTAAAAATTATGACTTTATTACAATTTATTATTTTTTATTATTACATTACAATTACTTATTAATATTCCATAAAACATTTATTATTATGTATTATAACATAAAACATTTAAATTTATATATTAAATTTAAAGATTTTACATAATTTTGCTATTTTTAATCATTGTCAATTTTATTTACTTTAAATTTTCATGTTAAGTTATATGATGCATAAATGTTGAAAAAATGGATATTGTGTGTAAGTTTTTGATTTTAATGAAAGATATGAGAAAGAATAATTTCATTTCTCCTTCTATGTTTTTCTTTCTATATTTATTTGTTTAATATTTTTATATTTCTATTAACTGAAATATTTCTATATATATTTTTAAAACTTAATCAGACAGTGTTTACTCGTAAAACAATTAATATGTGAATACTAAATATTCAATATTTGTTACAATATCTATAATAAGAAGAATCATTTTACAAAATTATTCAAAACTTCAATTACATATGATTTTATGTAATTGAATTCATATGATTATTATGATAATAATAATATTATTATTATTATTAAATTATCATACTTCTATTTTAGACATTTTTTATACTTATATTGAAAAATGTTCTATAATGGATGTAGCTACATATGCATAGATATAATATGAACAAATCTTGCTTATTTTTATATAGTTTGAGTTTAGTTGTTTGTATATAGTGGTTTCTACTTTTTATTAAATGTATTAGCTCTTATTATACATTTTTGAAATTTGAATTGAAGGTGAATTTTGAATTTGAATTGCTTTAATCTATATCTTTTTCACCCTTTGCTGTCTGTATTAGACAGATAATCTGTAAATTGCTTGAATACATTTATCATAAACTTTTATTAAATAACTATAAATGGTATTATACCCAATTTTACATCATATTTCCATATTTATTTAATAATTTATAATTAATATTATAAATTATTTTATAATATAATTATATATTTTATAATATAATTTATAATATAATATAATATTATTTTATTTTATATAATTTATAATAATAATACGAGAATATTAAAAAATTATGATTTTGAATGCTGCAGTTGACACCTGTAGGTTCCACTATCTTTAAGAATATCGTGGCAACGGATGCTGACGCTGGTGTCAATGGTCTCGTAGAATACTCGATAGCCATGGGGGATGGGACGGGGGTTGGTAACAGTGATGGAGTTGGTCGGGACCGTGTAACCACAGCCGATGGCTACGGATATTTCAGTATCAACTTGCCTCACCAAGGTCAGGTCACCGTTAATCGTACCCTTGATTATGAGAGAACACAGCGCTATCTCGTTACAATTCTTGCTTCCGTAAGTATTTTCATTGATAATAATATTAGATTATAGCTTCGAATAAATGTATTTTATTAGATCTCATAGATCACTGGAATTATTATTATTATTATAATTTATTGCTTTTTTGGTCATATAAAAATGACAATTAATGAGTTATCATAATTAAATAAAAAAAATTAATATAATAAATTAATATAATTAATACAATAAATTTATAAATATAGATAAATATTAATAGAATTTTATTTGTATAAGTCAATTTATTATTAATGAATATTGAAGGATACTATTTGTTTTCATTCTCAATTATATTAACTCATTAGAACAAAATTTAATTCTTTTAAAAAGATAGATTATATTTATAAAAATTTTTGTTAAAAAAAAAATATGTATATATATTTTATAAATGACACAATTTAAAAGAATAAATAACGTGTAAGTTAAATAATTTAGCAAAATTTAGATTATGGTATACTTCACAGTATACATATGATATTGAAAGATAATAAAGAACAAAAATTTAGAAAAAATAAAATGAAAAGTTTCCACGTTTTACTTTTTATTTACGAGCATTATTAAAAAATATTTTTTATAATATTTCTGTAAAGTTTATTAAACAATTTTGTAAGATAGTTCCCCATTTAAAGAAATATAATTTTATGTGCTACGTCATTTTTACTTTCAAGCTATTTAACAGTAATAAATACCTTTTAAAACCTCTGATTCTATCACTAGTATTTTGTTGCAAATACATTCATATTGATTTTAAGTAAAGAAAAGCAATTTCTGAAAAATAACCATACGTTATAATGATGAGTAAGGAATTTATGTTTGCGTTAGACACGTACATATAAAGATGAATAGAAGATTTAAAAAACACTTATATGAATATATTTTATCTAAAATTTTATTATATTTATGTCATTTAGATAAAAACATAATATTCGGAATTTTTATATTCGAAAGCTATATGTATATGACAGAAAATATTTATAGGATAATTCAATGCAAAAAATTAATAACGAACTTGTTTCTCCAATAATCAAAATGGTAATCAATGGAATTATCAAATAATTGTCTTCGTCAATTTTGTGATCTGTCAATATTTGGTTTCTGGATTTATTCGTACGAAACCAATGTTCTAATGTACCAGACTCTGCCATTCTTCTTATAATAGCATTAAACTTCTGTAGAAGTGGAAACCCAGGCTCAAACAAGAAATTTTTGCCTGTTTTCATGAACTTGAGCTGACCTATCCTGATCATAGAATTGCCATCCACATTCTTGAACATGTTCTGGTACATCCTTGCTTTGGATTTGATAGTAAAGCAAATAACAGCTTTACCTTCAATAATTTGTCTGATAATGTAAACGAAGTTATTAGATTAAAAGAAATGACATTTGACTTTATATCATTAAGTTCGGCATATCATTTTTTATACTAGAATTTATAAGCCAAAATATTTATTTTATGTATTTATACTTTCTTGAGCTAAGGAAATGAACTATAAGAAAATGGTTTTAATAAAGGTATAATCCTTAAATTTCCTAACATTCACATCTAATTGAAATGACTACTTTATACAAAAATTCAATTTTGATACTATTATTATATTATTATATTTAATCATTCATATGAACTTACATTGATAAATTGATTTATTTGGTTACTTTAAATTCTATTTAAATATGTTAATAAGTAGACAATTTCAGAAGTTTCTATTATTATTTACAAATTTTATTTATTAAATATAGTTCAAAATAATTATTAACTATATTTCTATAATTTTTATTATATAATATTCTAAATGAAGTTAACAAAATTAATATGAAATTTTAAGTCTTTTCCTTTTTATATATTTTTTTTATAAAATACAATACATTTATGTATTTTAATCGCAATAAAAGTTAAATATACTTTTTATCCAAATTAACAACCTGTAATTTAATATAAAATTTTTTAAATAATTGTTTATAATCCAAATAAATGAAGCTTTAAAATCATGTAATATTTGTTATTCATATCGACCTTTTTATACCAATCTATCATAGTTCGATTTTTAAATAATGTAATGACATTGACAAAAGTAATAAATGTAATAACATTGCAAATAAATTAAAAAGTAAATATATATTTTATACGTAGAAATAAAAAATAATAATACAACATTTTATTATCAAATTTTGAGGTAATTTCAAGTTATATGTAAAAATAAGATCATATATTAATATAAATTATTTGTAATCAAAATTTTATTGATAATAATTTAACATACCGAATACAATTTTCTACTCCATTCAGTTTAATTTTTTGTTTAATCAGTGATAATTCTTGCTCTGGATATTCAAATATCCAATGAAAGCCAGCTGTACTCATGTATGGAGTCAGTTTAGAATTCAAAACATCCTGAAAAGTTTTTAATGGTATTTCCGTATATGACAGTTCGTAATCAGTGAAAGTAGAGTAGATATTTTCTAAATAAGTTAACGATAAAAATACTATACTAATGAAAATGAATCTATCTCTAGTTTCCTTTGGTTGCTTAGCACCAGAAGCACCGAGAATTAGTCGCACTATATCGTAGTGATACAACCGATGTTGCGTTATCTTCAAACGATCAGCCAGGATAACGATGATAATTACACAACCAATTCCAAATATAATTAATATCATCGACTTTAAAGGTGTGTAGATAGTGGCAGACTTTTCATGAAAGTTTGGCGATACAGTTGCACAAAAACTGTCGAATGTAAAGACTTTTCCACGTGAAAGTGCAGTAAAGTTTCTTAATACAGGATGATTTACTGACATAGAGAAAGATAGAAGATTGAGCACTCCCAATTGTATATCTCGAATTACATTTCTTAAATCGTCCTTTGTATACTCTAATATTGTTAATTTTAAGTTAAGAATACTTGCTATATATTTGATAATTCGAAATTCTGTTCCACCATATGTATTGTTATAACCTTTTGTTATATATGGTAACTTTGGTATATAAGGTAATTTCAGTTCATATCCATATGTATTAATAATTTTATCAGGAAAAAGATTTACTTTGGATGTATACTTTATAGAAATTTGTATGAATCTGAATGGGTCATAATATAATAAATTTGCAACGTTTGTTGGACTGATTTTGATGATGGAAAAATCTAAAAATTTTTTTGACCAAGCATATAATAAAATATTTTCAAAAAACGAATGGTAACTATTTGTGAAGGATATCATGAGACACTTTGGATGAAAAGATGGAAATGGCAATTCAATCAAAGAATTTAGATTAGCTTTGATTTGCTCAAAAAGATAAATTTCGTTACGCATATTTGACATCTGAAGTATTATATACACTGTCGTTTGTTTAGTAACAGACAAGAATGGAATTTTATTCGTATCTTTTGATAAGTCAATAACAATGTATGGCAGTACAGTACCTAATTTTTGAAAGATATAATTTTCTTCTACAGTTCCACTGGTATCATTATTTTTAAATATCATGAGCTGATAGAAATTTTTCGATTCGTTAAAATGTTCGACTAAAGTATCCATCCAATAATGATCTACCGCATGAATTAAAATGACACCTTGGAGATTCAGAACTAAGAAATACATAAATATCACCATTTTATTCATTGTAAAATATACCATGTTCATTAAATAATATGTTATATAACGTATAAGTTTACAACCGAACTAAATAAACTAAAAAGTACGTTAATAATTTTTAACTTTAACCGTAATACTTATTGCTATCGTAATCAATATATGATTACAAATACAGAAACTTATTTACTATTTACAATTTCAGATTCCCCGTGACCTTTTTATATACTGAATGTTAAATAGGGCTATCGAAATAATAATAACTTACATATGTTACTGTTATTTGCATTTCATCAATATTGTGATTCAATTAGTACTTACTTACACTAGTGCGACTTAAATACGTGTGAAAAATTAAATAAGGTTAGAGTATTGTTATCGATTTTCTAATTATACTATAGTAATAAAAGTAATATTATATAATGTATGAAAAGATTGGTTTGAATACTTTCACTTTTAAAATTTAATGACTTAATTTACATATAAGTTAAAATATACTGAAAGCTATTTGAAAAAAAAATTCTTTCAAATTTCGAATACTTAGAATATTAGTATTAAATAAAATAAAAAAGTTTATAAAATAACTTAAATAAAATATTTTTAAAATACTTTTCCAGTATAAATTAATGTATTAAAGTTTGTTATTGTCCAATTCAGAAAATGGTCGACTTTCATAATTGTTTGGATAAACTCTGAAATGATTTCATAGATATATAAAAAATTTAGTTGCATGTAGAATTTACAAAATTCAATTCTGTTTATATATCTTAAGAAATATTTTTTAGATTATTTTTTGTATATTTATTTGAATTAGACTAACTAACAATACCAATGGAAATGCATAACTATTTTCAACAATTTCTAAAAGCTAATGTTTTTATAGTCCTATAATTTTAAAAATTTATTTTTGAAAGTAGATTTTTTAACTCAATATAATTAGTTAAAATAATTAAAGAAATCTTTATATACTATATATATATAATATTTTTAATTGAATAATTTTATTTATAAAGGTATATTTATAAATTTTGTAAAATTAATGTTAATAAACATTCATTATATGAAGTGGTAGTGCCAATGTTTCCAAATATTTTTTGTTCTAAGGGTAATTATAAAACTTTTATAAATCTGTATAATAATCATTTTGAGATTCTTAATGGAACCAAATAGTTATATAATTTCAGTAACCAGATATATAAGTTTGTAATATAAGATGTTTTTCTTTAAAGTCATATATTTCATTGTTTGATAAAGTAAAATATTAATTTCTTAAAATTCTATTAAAACGAAAGAAAGTATTTGTCATTGATTAGTAATTGATCGCTTTCTATAATTAAATTTTGAATTGTTACTATGAATCAAACTTACGATGTTTATGAATTTAAAATTTTATTCAATGCTCAAATTGATTTAATTTTATTATAGCATTAAAATATGAATATATAATTAAGTAATGTTTGTTACAAGTCATAAGAAGTCTAAAATTGACATTAGAATTGTTTGCAATGAAAAGAAACAGTATTTTGAATCATAGTCATAAAAATAAAAAAATGTAAAATTTTCTTCTTATAATTCTGGCTTATAACTTTATTAATTATTAATTATAATCCTATTTATTAATTATAATTGTAACAATATTATTGATAATTTTTTTAATTTCTTTAAGGGAGTATTCGAGATGAGTTTTTCATGGTATCTATTATTTTTTAATATCATATCAAGAACTAGTTAATTATTATATTTTTGAATTTACTTATAAAAATAAATGAACTAGTTAATTATTATATTTTTGAATTTACTTATAAAAATAATAAATAAGATTTGTTTAAAAGACTTTTAACACAAATATAACACCTTTAGAGTTATTTTATCAATAAGTTAAGAATATTGACAGAATATCTGATGAAATATCGCATATCTTTTGTCAGATTTTGTATCTCAATGCTCATTAGATTCTGATCATTTATTTGAGTCAATGAAATCTTATTTCCACCAGGACAAAAGCTTCGAGAACAATGCGTAGGTGGGTTGCGACATGAGATACTATCACATTTCCGAGATAGATTAAGCATCTTTCAATCGGAAACAATACTGATTGAGTACTGAAAATCGTCGTTGACGAATTGTTAATGGCAGTATTAATTATTCAGGACCATAGCTTTTCATTGTTATTAGGTTTATCTGTATATCATCATTAAGAAGATGCGAAAGTTTAAAAAATTGGCTAGTTAAATTTACTTAGTGATACACAATCTAATGATTTCAGAACACTCAAATAATCTTTTCACTAATATAAATATCAAATATATCTATATAAATAAAGTCTAGAGTTGTGGAAAATTATAGCTTTCTCTCCAAAAGTATCTCTTGTTAATTAATTCAGAAACAAGATTTCAATAAAGCTTATCTACATAGTAGCCATTCTAAGAAAAATCATTAAACTGCAGCATGAGAATTTTTTTAGCGATCTTTAATAACACAAAATGATATCTATAAATACTAACGACCACACATGCATTCGGTCATATTTTAATATAATATTAAAAACAAATAAAAAAGTATGATTAGTTTAATCTATATCAATATTTTGCTCATTGTTAGATAAGAAATGTAAGTGATATAAAAGTATTGCTTATAATATTCTAATGATTCTATATATATGTTTTTAAATTTATTAAATTTTTCTTTGCTAAATCATTACGAATTATATTTGCAACACACTAATTTAAAATGTGTAACGCTGCAATCTACATGATTATTAGGCACACTTTTATATTGGATTTAATAAAATGTATTTAAATATTTATTAAATTATCACACTGTCTATTTTTTACAGTTGTACCATAGATAATATTTTTCGACGACATTACTTGGCTTAAAAGGATTTTTTTAAATATATGATTCTATATATTCTGATCTATATATTCTGATATTCTGATTGATACATTTACAAATCTTTTAATATAATATGAAAAATTATTAAGATTTATTTCACTTTTAATGCATAAGTATTATAAATATTGTTTACTAAAAAAATACTTTAAAATACATTCATATTTTATCAATCAATGTTATAAAAATTTTAAATCTATATATATATATATATATATATATATATTGATACAAATATAAATATATGTCATTTAAATAAATCAATATTGTGACCCTTAACTCATTAAAATATTTTGTAGCTTAAAGTATATAAAATTTTATTACAGATAGTTAATTTTAAAATTAGGGACATTGTTTCTTTTTCATTCGTTTTATGTCTTTTCATTTTTAAAAACGATTGCTTCGTAACTTTGTATATTTGTTAACATTTTTTTTTTAAACAATTAAAATATGATAAAGTCGATCATACGATCATTGTCAAAGAATTCAAAGATCGAAAAATATAAACAAAATTGTATATTATTTTATACCAATAAAAAATTCCAAAATTATTAATCTTCTTGTAATATCCTCGAACCTCATCTGAATATTCAGATTGTCTATAATTTAGCGAAAACCGCAAATAGGCCCTTAACAGCACGATACTAGTAATGTGATCGAATGTAAAATACATTTATAATAAGATTCCAATCTTTATTCACCGCTTCATTTTTCTTGAGGTTTTTTCGATTTCACGTGTAACTATACTTGATATTTTATCTTACTTTCTTTTTAAAGCATAACAGAACAGCTAATAGGAATCTTAAATTGAATTTATAATGTTGAATTCTTATTTTATAAATTATATTTTACGTGGTTGTAAAAACTTATTGAGAAATAAATTTCTTACTGTTATCTTCTTTAGATATTATCGTTGAAAATAAGTTCTTATTTATTTCTCTTTCTATCATATATAGTACATTAAATATTTTTTAAAAGCAATTATGAATTAAGTACTTATTTATATTTTTTCATTCCCAATTTCATATTCTTTTACTAATATATTATATTCGTATATACTTAAAATTGTTGTCATTAATAATATTTCGAAGGTTAACTAGAATATAAGCATGTACGAATTAGTAATTTAAAGGTGATAAATTAATTTTTAATTAGAATACTAACATTACTATGCACGAAAATAGTAGAAATCCAACAAGGCCATGGTTAATTTCTGTTACAGGATCGTTCGATAAAACCTGCTGAGCGCTTCACTTCGACGACAACTTTAATTGTGAATATTCGCGATGACGATGACCAGGATCCTTCATTTATCTATCAAGGCTGTATGCTACTCAATGGCGCTTGTATTAATCCAGAATATTCGGCATCGGTAAATCAATTTTTATTTATCCGTTAATGTATTAATACAATATAATTGGAACAATAATATTCAATGGTATTAGATATAATCAAGATTGCAGCATCTAAATTGAAATCTAATAGATTTTTTATTATTAATATTTTCTAAATAACAATTTATTAAACATATTTATTGTTTTCTTTTATTTACGATTAAATATAACATACATAGGCTTTAGATACAAAATTAAAACGAGAGAAAAAAGAACATTGAATGGTAAAACTCGACTATTATGTCATAGGTATCAAGTGGCGTCCTCTCGGGTATCCTCAATATTTCTCCGGAGAAGGTTCAGGCAGTGGATATGGACAGTATTAATGCCCCTATACGCTACTCGTTTCTCAGCGGTAGTCCCACCAATTACAGAGATTTTTTTGAAATTAACCAGAGCACAGGAGCAGTTAAGCAAATACGGGCCGTTGACACCACAGTCTCTAAGAAGTTCGATATCATCATTAAGGTTAATTTTTCCTCTATCTGAATTATTTAAATTATTATATCTAGACACAACATTTTCCATGCCACTAACAGTACAATAAATTAACTAAAGTTCACGTTTAATCAAACTTTTTGTATAACTATTTTTTTTGTATTAATAATTAAAAAAAAAAAAACTTATGATTATTCTAACAAATATTTTTATTTTAGTAGAATATTTTTTTTATATTTTCAAATTATATTTAAAGGGCATTATTTTATTGTAAATTTTCATTCAGAAGATTAATTGAGAATTAACGGAATAAAATATTTCATAATTTATCGAATGTTATAAATATAGAAGTGCCGAACATGCATAGTCGTGGTATTCAAAATAGTCGGTATCTGCTTCACGACATTCTTAAAAAATCTTATAAAATAAAAATCGCAGCATTACATACATAATATGTAAAAAATGGGATTCAACCTAAAAAAACTCAAGTATCTCCTGGCTCCCCTTCCTCTCGACTCGATAATTCATCCCCATGATAATATTCGCGTATGTTGTCAATTGCGAAGGCTGTGGAAGACTCGGAAGCTGAACGTTCAGCCACTGCTAAGCTCAGCATCACTGTGAAACCGGTCGACAGTAATCCGCCGGTAATCACAACCAGCTCCATCGAGGGCTACGTTGACGAGAATGCGCCCGTTGGTACCAAGGTGGTGGATGCTCAGGGCAAGCCCATCTTCCTTGCTGTTACAGATGCTGACCTCGTAAGTAAAGTTTGTTTTCTTTTTTATTTGACATTTTTTTACTTAGACTTGGCGATTCTTTATAATTGACAAATATTTTATGAGTTGCCGATTTAATATTCCTATGTAATATTTAAAAGTGTTTTTCTAATTATTTAGTTGCCTTCTCTTACTAAAAGCTACTACACTAGAATAATAAATTTCAGTAATTTGCAATATTTTTAAATATTAAACTTAAGAGCGCGCGTGCGAGAGAGAGAGAGAGAGAGTATAATTAAATTGATTATTTAAAGAATGAAATAGACTATATTTAAATTATATTCATTTTTATACATAAAAGTGGTAGTCAGAATCTTACATCATTCATTATTTGCTTTATATAATACATTATAACGTATTAATATACGTTATACGTTTCAATACGTTAAAATTTCTTATTATATTTATAATAATCAAAAATAATAATTTTAATTAATTATCTTGAATAAATTCATTTGGTTTTTCATACAATTAATCTTCTATTGACTTTAGAACAGGTTTCTCTTTAAATTATTTAAAGTAAATTTTTTCATTAATGTTAAGTTTTTAACTCATATATATATATATATATATATATATATATATATATCATATCTCACTAAAACATATATTTAATGGATTAATAATGAATCATACTATCGTGCTATCTTGGAAAATTTCTTCAGATGTGCATCTGTTGGAGATAATAATGAATTTATGATACCACGAGTAGTTGTAACTTTTTCAATTGTATTTCTCTCGGAATACGTGTCACATAGGTATGATATGTATAAGTAATGGATGAGCAAATTTAGTTTTTTTCATATACTTTGATTGAAAAACAAAAAATTTCAAACGGACAATAATTTTAATATTTGATCACTAAATTATTTATAAAATATAACATTTTACAGCAAAATTTATTATCATTTTAATTTTGTAATTGTTAATAAAAATAGAAATATAATGTATATAAATCTATAATTCAACCTTCATTAATCAATCATCATTAAAAGATATACATATAATATGTATAAATCTATAATGAAATCGCATGATAAAAGTTAGTAATCTATCAAATTAATAGGATCTTTGAAACGAGATGATTTTTATTAATTTTTTTTTTTGATTAGGAACAATTTTTATAATATTCAATACTATTTTACAGAATTTCTAAATTATTAGCTTTATTGAATTCAAAGTATCTAATCTATCTATCTTCAAGTATCTATCTAAAACTATGAACCTATTCCAATACCTACATATCTCAAGATCTTCTAATAAAATCTCAACACTTTCGATACATGTCTCTTTTGGTATTATTTGAATATGAATTGCCAAATAGGGAGCTGAGGATCCGAAACCGGACTATTTGTTTGAGCTGACAACAACATTTTTCTCGATCGACGCCGGTGGTAGCCTCATAGTGAACGAGGAGAATTTGGATCGCGACCCCCCGAGTCCTGGTAAATTTCGTTTCCAGGTTGTGGCGCGTGAGCGGAACAATGTCGCTGCCTCAGCTCCGCTCTCTTTCGTCGTCACCCTCAATGATGTCAATGATAACGCACCCATGCTACCGATGACCTCGCCCATCACGGTCCAGGCCGGTGAAACCAAACGTGAAGTTATCAAGGTAATTATGCATTGTACTGATTAACGTCGAGGATTGTTTATTTAACACAACAAAAATAATAAAATATTTAAGAATTGAAGTTTTGTTGAAGTATTATTGAAGATTTGAATTATAGTTGAAGATAGGTTTTACTGGTGGAACGAATAGGCATCTAATTGTTTTATTTATTCATATTATTTATTCATTCTTAATGAATTTAACAATTTCACTTGAACAAAAAAAAAACAAATTTATTTGATCGTTATTTGTAATTTTAATTTCAATTTTATTTTTATTCCAAAATTTAGGAAACAGTAAATTTTCTATTTTACTTGCGCTGATAATTGAAAAATATAAATGATGTGGCCAAAGAAACGTGATTGATTTGAGTTTTTATAGTATTGAAAGAAACTTAGAATGAATAATGATATTTAATACAACTCTTAATTTTCGATTAAATATTCGTAAAAATGTTTTAAACAATACAAAGTGAAAAATAAAGTTTGTAAAAACAGTTGTATATTCAGTTGTACATAAAAGCATTAACTTAGAAGGTGTTAGATTTTTAATTCAACTTCTATTTAGAAATCAATTATTTGAAAAGTAACTAATGTATTTGCATAAAATGTAATAAGAAATAACTATGAATGTATTTTTTAAAATATAATCTTACGAATAGTTCTAAATAAAACATGTCTATGTAAGGTATTACAAAATTGATTTTTAACACGTTGTAATATAGTAATATGTAATATATATTTATTCTTGCATATATCTTTTTCTTCTTATATATATATATATATATATATATATAATATAATCCTCTACTTCTCAATGATATATAGGTGGAGGCAACGGATAATGACGAGGGTCCGAATGCCAAGATAACCTACAGCATATACCACGTGTCAAATAACGGGTTGCAGAAGTTTAAGATTGATCCGAGGAGCGGCCTCATAGAGTCTGTTGGCAAGTTAAATGCGGGTGAGCAGTACAGTATCACTGTTCAGGCCAGTGATAACGGTGGCCGTTATTCCCAAACTATCGTCGAAGTTAATGTTATACCCGGACCTAACACCCGCAGTCCTGTATTCCAGCAACAAGTATACGAAGTACAGGTGAGCGAGGGTGCCTCGCTCAATGCTACCGTCGCCACGATTACCGTAAATATCTCCAATTCTGCCTACATGTACATTCATAAATATCGTAAACTATCTTTAAACAATTTTTGTTGCTAAGCTAACTTGATTATCATTATCTTGAAAAGAAGCTCACAAGTAAAATACTGAATAATTATAATCAATTTATAATCTATATATATATACTGTTATAATAAATTGGTGCAAATGTTTTAACGTGACAGATGATGGTAGTTCTCAGTGTTCCTTGTTTTCACATAGATAAACAGTAACTTTATTCATATCGAAACATTAAAAAATAAGAAATAAATATTTCGAAACTCCCTTCTAATATAGATAAAAATTCATAAGAAGCATTCAGATAAGAGTGTAAGCATTAGCATAAATAGAAATAAACAAATTTTTTTTTTTTTCTACAAATATGAAAATATATAATTCTTTCGAAAGTGGAATTAAGTAAAGGTTAACGTTTAATCACAAATGAATTTTTTGAAATCGAGCGCCCTTTCAAGCAGCTCCCATTTTACCCGTTTTACAGGCCATCGATCCAGAAAACGATCCTGTTTCATATTCCATCGTCTCTGGTAATGATCTCAGGCAATTTTCGATTGGGGACAAGTCTGGTATCATTACCGTTATACGGAAACTGGACAGAGAAGATCTTACGCGCTATCAATTGGTATATGCAGTTACTAATTAAAAATATATGAATTTATTGAAAATTATTAAAATATGTTTTTGTATTTAGCGTGCGAGTGTGTAGTAAAGCCTAATGTATTGAAATAAATGATAAATAGTATATAAAAGTGAAAGTTTTAAGAAAATATGTTATTTTTTTTATTCATGTTCATTAATATATATTTGTTATTATTTCATATTTTACTTTATTACTATTAGCTTTTTTACTAATAATAATACTTGTATGTTAAAGTTTTAGTAATACGATGTTTAGCTTATTTTCAATAACATTTGTCTTTTAACATTACAAAAATTAAAGATGATTCATGCATACATTTTATTAATTTATTAAAATTCTAATACATTATTATAAATAATATATTATTCAAAAATAAATCTAAAATATGCCTAAAAATATACTATGTAAATCCAACCCAATTTTAATTGCATTAAAATTCATAAAATTATTATTAGATATTTGCATTAGTGTATTCATGGTACATTTTCTAATTAAAGAATCTAGTAGAATAAATTTTCGTCAATCTTAAATCATGCATTACCTGTAATTTACGTGCAATTGAGTGCAAACACAATGTCAGTTGTGATTAAAGCCTATGATCTGTAATGATAGATCATCAAAGCGGAGGACACGGGTGGATTGTCGAGTACGACGACTGTAAACATTAAAGTAACGGACATCAATGATAAGAATCCAGAGTTTGAAGGGCTACCGTACGAATTCACGGTGAAGGAAGGTGAAGCTAGAAAACTGATTGGACGCGTCCATGCCGAGGATGCCGACGAAGGTATCAACGCTGAGATCACGTATTTTGCTCCGGACGACATACCTTTTACCGTTGATCCTGAGACTGGCGACATCCTCACGAAAGTCGCCCTGGATTACGAACAAAATCACGTGAGTATTTTTAACTTTTTTTAATTTAGCAGGTAAATCACGGTATTTATGATTTTGTCTCTTTAAGAGATTAGGAATATTATGTCAAGCCACTTTCTCCTTCTTTTCTCATTTTAATTTAATTCAATCTACGTGCTGCCGTTAATTTTAAATTGAGATTCAGAGTTTGTATTTTTTCTATTTTTATAATTTCATTCCAATTTATCTGGTTCTCGTATTGGAATTGTAAATTATTATTGTGTCTTAATCAAGCGTATCTTATTGTATATAACCAGAAAAATAATTATTTATTTCAGTCAAGATAAATAAATAGATCTTAATTACCTTCGGCGTTAAAAAACAACCATAAATAAAAAATTAATATGAATTATACTTAGGAAATAAATATAATCTAAATTAACATTAATATGGATGTTGATATTTTTAAATTCAAGGAGTACAAGTTTGTTGTGACAGCTCGTGATGGAGCACCGGATCCAAGATTAGCAACAGCAACCGTAACGGTTCATGTTGTTGATGTCGAGGACGAAGTTCCGATTTTTCATCAAGGCAGTTACGAAGCAAGTGTTAAAGAAAATGTACCTGATTGCGTGGTTATTCATGTTACGGTAAGCTTTCTCAAATTGATTTATTTGAAGAGGACGAGTTAATAAATTTCCATTGTGTACAAAGGTATACAATTATGTATTAATTTGTATTTTTAGAAGTTCATTAACTGTTTCGTATCTCCGAAAATACTTCTGAATTTTTAAAATTATTACAAACTATGTACTGATTGATGAGTACTGACTAGTTGTTTTTTTTTTTTTTTTTTTTTTTTTTTTTTTTATAAAGTATCAATAATAATTTATATTTTTATTTTTATTAATTAATATATATTAATTAATTAAATAAAAAAAAACATATACATTTCTATCTTATAGTTTCTCTGTAGTGGAAGATCCTTCACCAGTTTTCATAGATTTCATAAATAATAATGTTTCGTAATAAAAGATATTTAAAAAAATAATATTTGATTGATTACATATATCTTTTTTAACCTTTTTGATACATACGATAGATACTTTCATTTTTAATAATAACTGTTTATTTTATGATTATATTTTATGATGTCATTTTTATTGTTCAATAGCAATATTAAATACATAAATTTATATTGTTGAATAATTGAATATGATGTTCATTGCAAACATTCATACATAATAGAAATTATAATAAAAAAAAAGCAAAACAACGACTGTCCAACCTTTAAAAGGTACGAATTAAAAATAAATCTGTTCTGACAGGCGGACGACCCAGACACAAAGAAACAGGTGACCTATGTGATTAAGCAAGGTGACACGGAGCTATTTAGTATCGAACCGAAGACCGGAGTGATAAAGACCATTCGGGGTCTTGATTATGAACGCGAGAGCCAACATACACTTCTCATTGGCACCATCGAAAATACGAGCAGTCTTCCTGGTTCGACCACTCGGGTCCTCGTCAATGTCCAGGATGTTAATGATATACCCCCGGTCTTTACGATGATTCCGCGGCCTATTGCACTCGATGATAATGTACCTATCGGCACTACTGTCGTCAATCTCATTGCAACGGACTCGGACGGTACTGCGCCCGGAAATCAGGTTCGTGCTTTTCAACTCAATGTATATTTGGCATGAAAAAATGAAATCCATCGTCAAAATATATTTTGCTAATATGTACTTAGCAGGATATATGATAAAAATACTTTTTATTGAAAATTTTATTTAAATACATTTTATGCAATATTTATTATGTACTAAAATAAATTAATCCATGTATTAAAATATAAAGTATATAAATATCTACTTTGCTCTGTTTTTCTAAAATCGGTGTCATTGAAAGTTTCTACAAATTGAAATGCAGCTATATAACTATTTTAATTGAAAATTTTTTTATTTTTAAATGAAAATTCATGATTTATATTTGATAAATTAACGAAATATTAGCTGTAAAGGTAAAATCTGACTACCATAATGTAAGCAGAAACGAAGTTAATCAATATTATTGATTGAATTTAATTCTGAAAAGTAACAAAATAAAAATACCAAATATAAATATCTTTATATATCACCTACTACTAAAAAATCTTGTAATTCTCAGTTTAAGCTTAAAACAAAAATACATTGAAAAAACTTTCTTTTCTTTTTGTTTTGTTTAATGTATACTTTAAATATTCAATACTTAAATACCTCAATTCCAAGACAAATAATTGCATGGCCTTACTATTTGTATTTTCAAATCAAACCGTTTGTTCGCTTTCATAATACAGTAGTAACATTTTTTAATGCACTTTAACAAAGGCTACTTCGAATTCCTCGTTATTAGTACAATTTCAACAAAGCCTATAATTGGCTTAATACTAATGCCGGCTATCATTTTAGATAAGATGAATAAAAATTCTATTCCCTGTAGTCATATCGACGCAGGCATTATCATTGCACCGGTACTTATACAGACGAAACGAACGTTTCCAGGTACGCTATGATGTGATCGGACGGGGCACAGCCAGTAAGTACTTCGTTATCGACCCGGACAGTGGTGTACTCCGCGTGCGAGACGACCTCCGCAAGGTGACGGACACGGAATTCCAGATAGACGTGCGCGCCTATGACCTCGGAGAGCCTCAGCTCTCGTCCGTGAGTACGGTACCCGTGCTCGTACGGCATGTAGCGCTGCTCGCAGGAGAACTCGGCCTTGGTTTCGCCGAGGACTCCTACAACGTTGACGTACCCGAGGATGCTGCATCTGGCACTCTCATTAAGATTCTCAGCGTGATCAGTGGAGGTTCGCGCGACGGCGCGGCTGCCCTTGAGTGCCACGTTGCGAGCGGCAACGAACAGTGCCACTTCGCTGCGAACATCACCGAGGAACGCAACTGCGCCCTCTGGCTGGACAAGGCAGAGCTCGACTTTGAAAATACCGAGAGCTATCAAATTAAGATCGAACTCGGCACTCTCGCCGGCGCCATTAAGAGCGGACGTAATGGCACCATGGTGAGGAGCTCCCGTAATTTTCAAATCTTATTACCATTTTTAAAGTGACACATTCAGAATGTGTGACTCTTATTATTTTCATGAGCTTATTAAATTTGCTATTAAATATACCGATTAGACGGTAATCGATTTCGATATAGAGTCACGGGCAAATTTAAGATTCTGTTTTGAGTCGTTTTGGCAAACACATTTTTAACTATTTACTGATTTTTTTCTTCTCTTCTTCAGATTAATTAAATATTTTTATAAATTATGTATACACCAGTATATAAGGAAACCTCGAAAATTTATTGATATTAAATTTTATTTTAAAATCATAGAATTTATTGCCATAATTAGAACATAAAACAAGAAAACGTTTAATTGGATTATTACATTTTTAATTCAAGTTAAGTTAATAGCAATTCATTACTTTTATATTTCATTCGCATTCAATTATAAAATTTACAACGGTGTTTAAAATGTCGCAAGATACTATTTTAATTAAAGAACAAGTATTTGGTATTACCAATTGCAAGTTATTTAGTTGAGTGATAATGCAATATAGTATTATCTCATTAAGCAAGCGTTTTTATTTGCATTCGATAAACTAATTGATTTTTTAAATAATGAAATATAAGGCAGTTTATAAATTGCTAAATACTTTTAAAAAGAAAAATTAAGTAAAAGTTAAGCAAAATTTAAATAAAATACAAAAGTAATTAATTATTGATTTAAACGCTAGTTGTTTATATTATTTACACTAATATGCTTAAATACATATTTATATCCACGCATATACATTTGAATATAAACACATTAAAGAAATATTAAATTATGAAATATAAAATCTTATATAATTGTATATTTTAATATATACGATTGCATAGATTACTTCAAATAATTTTAACAATTTATTAATTTAAGGCATTTGATCTTTTATATTTAATACACATTTAAATTGATCATTTTTAATTATATATAAAATGAACTTGTTATTAAATAAAAAAAATTATAACAAATTATAATTAAAATTAATAATTCGTTAATTTAAATTGATTTTATTACAGATAAATTAGAAACGAATTATTAATTAATAACTTTAAAATGTATATTGAAATTTAATTTCCAACTTAAATAATTAGTTTAATTAATTTCATCAATACGTTATAATCAAAGAAAATCAAATTTCCATAACATAAATAGTAATACATTCTTACGCATTAATAAAATATTAACATTAGTAGATAAATTCATGGATTACTTATCATTAGTTCGAGTCTGAAGTACTATCTTACCGATTATCGATAATGTTCCATTCTTATAAAATTTTATAAATTATTGCATTTATTGTAGTATATATATATATATATATATATATATATATATATTATGAATATTATTATTTTAAGTTAGCTGTTATTACTTGAAATATATATTCTAAAATAATTAAAGAAATAAAAGAATGAACGATTTGTATGAATTTGTAATAGTTAATTTTACGAATTATATTTGTGTCGACATAAAACTCTATTTATATATATAAGAAAAAATTTTTTGGAATATTTTTCCAAATGAAAAATATATTTTACTATATATTTTGAATTCTATTTGTATGAAATTGTAATTTTAATTGAAAAATACTAATTATTATAAAATATTATACTGAGAAATAAAAATTACTTATTCATATCAGATTATTAATTGTTTTATGTTACATAAATGTAAAAAAAGGAATAAATTAAGAAATTTACAACAGCCATGTACTACGTGGATGTGTTACATTTCAGATAACGTATTTAATATTTTTTATTTAATGTTTTTCCATAATACATATGAAATAACATATTAATATATCCAACATAAGGGCTTGTACTATTGATAAATTGTTTTTTTAAATAATTTTACAGAATAAATTCACTATACATCAGATTTGAATTTTATAATTTTGTGCAATGAATTCAAAAATATTGCGATCAGAATCTGAGATGCTAGGTAAATAATTTTGAAAAGTAAACTAAATATGATTTTTTTATTCGCAGGTGAAAATCCAGGTCGTCGACGTGAATGACAATAGACCAGAATTCATATTTCCTCAGACGAACTTGACGAAAGATCGATATTTTGCGAAGGTTCCGTTAGCAGCGCAATTTGATTCGACGGTTCTTGAAATCAAAGCCCAGGATAAAGACAATGGAAAGTACGGTAAACTCGAGTTCTCTCTCCTTTTCGATGGAGAGAAAAGCCGTTCTGCTGATTTCTTCGCTGTCGATCCGACCTCCGGCATCATACGTACCACTGCCAATTTCGACTCGGTGGAGCCCGAAGAACTACCGTTTAGGTAATTCATTATAGGCCGTGATTATACGAGGGCAATTAAATTTTAATTTCAAAAACTGATTTTAAGATTGATTTTACATTACTTCAGTGTCTAATGTTAAAATTATCATTCCAAACATTTTATTTGTTCAAATTTTGATTAAAAAATGAAAGTCTTATAAGGTAAGTTCGAAACAACAATTCATTTTTTCTTATATATCAATCAATATTTTGGACATTTAAATAGAAATATACTAATAGACGTTTCTCGTTTATTTAGGAAGTATTTCATTATAATTTTATAAAATGAAAAATGTATAATAATAAGAACATTTTCAACACTTAAATCATTTCTTTTACAATGATACAAAAATAAAAAATGTAAAATAGAAAAGATTTTCTAAATAATTTAAACATTCTATATTTTAAGTAAAAAAATACATTTATTTGATTTTTATTGTAATATATTTGTTTTTATTATAAGATCTAATTTTGATCAAATAACGGACTTTATTTTTATATATTTATAATTTCATTAACTAACTCTTGGAAATTACCGATAATAAGGAATTTGATTAAAAATATTTATTATAAAATATTTTTATATATTTAACCATTCCAAATTATTTCTTTAGATTATAATTATTGGAAGAAAAATATTGTTTTTAATTATAAATAAAGAAAATCAAATTTATTGATGGTCTGACAAATAAACCATTTAATCTATAAAAATACTATATAAATGAACGAATTATTAAACTAGCAGCTGTAAAAATGTTTGTAGGTTCAAAGTTCAAGCAAAAGATAATCCAAACTCAACCAATAATTCGAATATTGCCAAAGCACCCGTGATTGTGAATCTCGTTGGGCCCGATAATTACCTGATTCTCACCGTGCAAAATGCTTCACCAGAGTCTCTACAGAAGGATCGTGCGAAGATAGTCCGAGTAATCGAAGAAAAAACCGCTCTATTAATTGAGATTGAGAAGATCGATTCGCGTCGGCTTCTCTCTGTTAACAACACTATCGAGGTGCGTCATCACGACTCTGATGTCTGGTTTTACGTCATTGATCCCAAAAGCGAGAAAATACTTCTCAGGAACAGTAGCCTCTTACACAGGTGAGACTTTGTAATTAATTATAAGTAATTATTCAATTTGAATATTAACAACGGCATTTGATTTGGTTCCTTGTAAAATTACTTTTTGTGCTAATACAAAACAATAGCAATATTTTGATATTTAAAATTAAAAAAAACTTTTATTAATGAAATAACAGTATATTAAAACAACATTATACAGCTAATTATTTTGGTTAAGGATTTATCATATATAGTCTACGAATTATATAAAAATTTAAAAAGGTATTTTGTTTTTTTTACTTTTACAACATTAAAGAATTTATAAGATAAATTTTATAATATACGTAAAGACATATTAGGCAAAATTAAAATGAGTAATAAAATTTTATAAAAATAATTTCAATTTAAAATTGTTACTATAGCTATTGAAATTATTACTATAACATAGTATAACTACTTTTAAATACAATTGTATTAAAAATGATTTTTATTACATAAATATTTAAATAAAATATAATTTATTTAACTATTATGCCAAAGACTATGATGTACTTGTATCATTATTATTAGTTTAATTTTTTTTTGTACATTTTTCACTGTTTACAATAATTTCTGATATTTATTATAAAATTGAACATTAAATTAAAATGATTAGATAATTATTTTGAAATATTAGTGTGTTCTAAATATTTGAACATTAAAGCATGAAAGTATTATGAAACATAAGAATTATTAAAAATTATTCAGAATATTAAACAATTTTAAGTAAATTGATATTAATTATTAAAAAGTAAATCATTATTAATTATACCTGTAGATGAAATAAATATTATATTTGTACCAAATATTATATCTATTACCAATGGATTTGATAATATTTAAATATTTTTATATTTATTCACAATGTAACAGTGTAATGACAGATTAAATACATAGTTTATATAAGTTTATTCATAAAAATTTAGACAATATTGTGTAGTCAACGAAGTGTTTTGTGATAAATTTTTAAATAATTCGATTCGTATTTTTTCAAAATTGCATTAATATTTTAGTAAATATATACGGTTAATATTAAAATTAACTATCAAACTAAGTTTTACTGACAAGCTATAGTAATTATCTAAGTCAATTTAATTACAATTTAAATAATGTATTAATACTTAAATACATTTTGCTTACATATTAGATATATTTTAGATATCAATATAATATTTAAGTGAAGTCAGTTAAAGAAAATAAAAAATATATTCGCATCATGTTATAATAATTATAATTAATCGGTTAAACGTACGTTTTTCTCTCGCCAATAATAAATAATGTTTAATTTGATATAAAATATAAAAAATTCAAATATAAAAAATATTTCAAAATATATCTACAATAATTTATATATAAATAATATAATTCTTTCGTAATTATTTTAAAGATAACTTAGTTCTTATTACACTGATTATCAAAAAATTTTGAGTGTTTTAAAAAGAAAATTTAAGATTTGGTTCTAATACTCGAAATAAATTCACATTCGCAATGACTAGTCTGCATAAAAGGAAACGTCAATCGATGTTTAAATTTCTACAAAATTGGAGGTAGATGTGAGCTGTAACGGTAATAAAGAATTCCAGAGGCTCAAGGACGTTTCCGCTATCCGATAATTTTCACGTAGAAAGCGACCGGTGAGCATGCACAACCGTTAAAATCGCATGCCTTAGAAATCAGTTTACAAAACAGCTACCTTTTGTAAGTTGACGGATTTTCGCTTTTCGTGCATGAAGGTATCGATCGTGTTTTTTAAAACGTTTTTCATTGTTTTTATCGCGAAAGCTAGTTGTTCTAAACTGGTTATACGACTTTTCAATTATTACAATAGGGTAAACTCTTTCATTTTAATTATTTTAAATTTAAATTATTTATAATAATAATATTAAAATTCAAAATTTTTACATTTATCTTAATATCAAATAAAATGTAAAAATTAAATAAACAATTCAATTATTGAAAATATATTATATTGTGCTTATATTATAAATAATAGTAAATAATTTAACGTTTAAATAAACGTAATTAATTTTTTAATTTATTTTTATGCAATATTTAATCTTCTTTATTAAAATTTATTTCTTCATTGAGAGTGTTTTTTTTTTGCGTAATGAAGTACCGATATGTAAAATATAAATAATCTTAATTGTTTTTTATGAAGAAGACTAGCAGATATATCAAACATTTAAATTATTTTATTAATCACTCCTTTCACCTTTTAACACACTGTTTTCTAATTATTTTAAATATATATTAAATATTTCTAAAATGTATCAAACTAAATTTCATATATTGTAATAACAATAATAACTTTATATGATGGTTGTTTTATATAATATGTTTTTTTTATTCTTTTAAAATATTTTAGACCAATGAACGTCGTTAAAATAATATAAATGTCATGAAGTTGAAGTAAAATACAATAGGAAGTATTAAATTACTTAAATATACGTAATGTTTCTTGGAAAAGTATAACAAATACTCATTATATAAATATTTTTGGAAAAGGTTGCTGTGCTTCATCGTAGAAAAACATTTTGCTTAAATATTCCGTACAATGATTAATTACCGGTATCATAGATATAAAAAAGTTTGATTATTTATATAAAATTTATATTACAAGCATTTATTGGTATAAAAAAAAAAATTACGTTTTGTACAAACATGACAAAGATGTTTAAGATAAAGATTCATTTTGTCATGTATAGAAATATGCATATGAATATAGTGAATACCATATTATGAATAATATTGTAAAAAGCAAACATTATTATTTATTTTTTATACGTATCATTGAAAAATTCGTTAAAAATTTTGAGCATTTGTAATGGTATTTGTACCAGCAGTACAAATCGTTGGTTTGATATATCATTCCGGTAGGAACGTTAGAGAATGCTCGCGCTACTAATGTTTCAATTTAACCTTAAAATCGAATAAATTTCAATGGCGTTAAATTTTTAAATAATAATTCCCTTTTTATGCATTAAACCAGTGTAGGGTCGATAATTTTTATCATGAAATTAACAGTAAGAAATATGTGATCATTCCTCGATGTAACTGACGAATGAAGGAAAAAAACGTAAGCAGTCAGTACTCGGTTCCCTAAATAATAATCAATTGAAAACGTCTCTTCACGGCAAATATTAAGCCCGATATTTCTTTGGTGTAGGCTGATACTCGATAGAGAAGCTACGGCGAACATCACGTACGACCTGTCGCCATGGAGCCGGAGCCCGCACGTACGCACACCGCTGTCGCTTTCAGCGGTGAGGTCTTCCCCTACGCCCTCATCATAATCGCCTTTGTTATACTCGTCCTTGGAATAGCTGGTATCATCTACATTTGTGTATCGTGGTCTAGGTGAGTAACTGGCATATATGTTCCCCGTGTGCGATTCAAGGTTATGTGTGCTTTTCAGTTGTATAACTATTTTATCTGCACTCAATATTGCTCGGCTTACGAAATTTTAGGATGTTTAATCATCACATAGTAGATAATAATTATCGTACTTTTGCTAAATAACTTTCATTTAATGTTATTTATTTTTTTTTTTTTAATCCTAATTAAGTAAGAGTACAATTATTATTTCATTGAATTTTCGATATTTCATATTGCATTATTAATAATATTTTATTAATAATATCCAATTCTATGAAGAGTAATAACAATGATTGTTACGAGTCAATTACTTTTAATTTAATTTTTGTATATTTTTTTAGTCTTTTCAATAGAACTATGAACATTAATATTTATGTAATTAATGAAGACTCGCGACTACATGAAAATCATAATTTTTATTTTAAAAAGTTCCATTAAAACAGAAATTTAGACTCATATTAAAAAAATGTTCTGGTTATAATAAGAATTAAACGATAAAAGTGAGAATAATTTCAAATATATAACATTTTGCTACATCCTTAACAGAAAATATTTAAAATTTCTTATCAAAATTTTGTTTTCACTACAACAATAACCTTTAATTTTAATTCATAGCAATTATTCACGCTTGGTATCTTCAATAATATTTAAAAATTATTTCATCTACAGGTCCACCTATATAACTATTTTATGAGCAAAATTATTACTATCATATAATGGATTTTAAAAATAAAATTTAAACGCGAATGTTTTAAGAAAATTGTATATTAAGCCCTTAAATCAAATTAATATTTTACATAAAAAAATTAATCTTTATAATTAAAATGTCCTTTCTATTCAATTTTATTTTGTCGTAAAATAATTAAAAAAAAAACAATGTATATATTGCTTAGAAAGAATAAATGTTCATCTAATTTCTGGTAGAGAAGAACTTTCAGAAATTAAGAAGAAAAGTGCTTTTGAAATACATTAATTACAGTTATGAAATAGGAGCATAAATTGTAAATAGTATTAATTCATTCAACTACACCACTCTCCATTTTTACTGAAGTTAGTACCTGGAACTTTCTAAAATATGAAAATCTATTCAAACTTTCCATTTATTAAAGCTTGTAAAAGTGAAATTGTCTTTAAAATAAAATAATTTTAAACTATTAAAATAAATTATAAAATGTAAATATTGTTTTCATTAATTCAGCAGAATTAATAAATATTGATTTTTTTCAATAATAATATGGATTTTTATATCACAATTTTTAGAAGAAGAACGCCATGAAAAAATTAACAATATATATATATATATATATATTAATTTTAACTGTTACTTCGATTTCTATTAATAAAACATTAAAGATGCACTAATAACATGATATAAAATATTTTAAAAATTAATTAGAAAATAATTAAATGAAATGACATTATTATAATAATCTAAATTAATAAAAATGCTGAGGTAATTTTCTAGTTTTCAATGGTAAACTTATTTATACTTAATTATACATATGTATGTTATTTTTGTAATGTAATCGTAATAAATCGGAGGCAAATTATTTAAATATATCATTTTTTATACATATAGAAAAGGCATTAGTAAAGACATTAAATATAGTATTTAGATTTGTACATCAAAATTATTGTTAATATTCCATCACGGTAAGAAGATATAATTTAAACCGTCGACTAAGACTAATTGCAAAATACTGAATAATCTATCAATATTATTAAAATACTACGATAAATACGTTTTATGTTCGGCAGAACGTTTACGTCAAAGAAATAGTAATAAAAAGAACATGAACAATCGAACGCACTCGTTAAATAAACGTCCGATGAATAAGCTTTAAAAAAATATTAATAGGAAAAGAAGCTATAAAAATTTAACTTAATTTTTTTCTACCATACTCATATAATTCCTATTTCCCGCGCAATTTTAAAAGTGAAAAGTGCATTTCCTTAGTGAAAGCGAACACACCCAGAAAGATTTGGCCGCACTAGAATGTTGAACGAAATAATTAGTTATTCATTATGTTTATTTTTTTTTTTTGACCTCTCGAACGATTAAATATTATGAAAAAGACTTTTGTTACTTGATAGTTTTGTTTGTTCACTGTCATAAAGAATTAAAATTTTACATAAATATTTTTTCAATATTTTTATTAAATAGAAAATATCATTGATTTTTTCAATATAGGTTTATGCATATCAAAAAACTTGTTATAAATATAGAATAACTACAAATTGTAATTACAAATTTTTTAATTATGAAACTCTAGGAAAAGAACAATTTTTATTCCTTAATCGATCTAATATTTAACTTCAAACAAATAATAGTGTTCTTTTTTTTTTTATTAATTGACAGGTATAAAACGTACAAGGAGCGTATGCAACGTATGTACGTGGTGCCTCGTTACGATCCCGTATACGTCGAGCCCAACCTGAAAGAATACGAAACGCAGGTGTTACAAATGAGCGTCCCTGTTGATGACAATGACAGCTACAACGACCTGCAACTCGACTTTAGCAATAAGAATCATGCCTTTAGTCTCGATAACGTCAGCTATATTACGAAAGAGAACGGGGAAAGTACCGGTAACTATCATCACAATATTCTTTTAATTAAGCGCAATTATCATTGTGCTTGCATTTATGTACCTTTATGGATTTGAAGACTCTTGTCTAAAAATATTTGTTATTTTTGCAAATTTATTCGGCTTATCTGAAATTTATCGCCTAAAACTTAGTATCATGCCTTTATTATATTTCACAATCTTTAAGATTATATTTTTTTAATCCGAGATCAGTTCAACAGTAATGCTCGACATTTTGTAATAGGTCAGCAGAGCCCAGTGTCTTCAGAAGCTGCAACGACGGCACGGGCCTCAAGTATTGCCGGCAATCATGGGGCCATGGATTCAAATGTTCATACGTTGAGGCGTTCCACTTTAGGGCGGAAAAATAATGGCTGCAGTAATGGTCAAACCAGCAACACCAACACTCTCAACAATCGCGATACGCCAGTTCTTAATCCTCTCTACAATCACGATCTGATGAGCGCTAGTCCGTCTGACGACAACGTTATCTTCAGGGAAAGGAAGGATTATTCCCATCTGGGATTCACGTACCTCGGGGAGCAGAGTCCTGTGGAAACTACTACCGAGTTATAGTGATGTAGTTATGTGTGCTTGGCAAGACGTTCTACTTAACGAGTGAGAAAACTGCAGTGCAATGAAATTTGATATGTGATGGTTGATAAGTGAAAATCACCGTTGGACTTGTGGATAAGGTGATTTTCGGATGAATTGTTTTTATATTCATTGAAAATAATTAAATATAAAATTACAATTGTTAGATTATTAGATTTAAAGAATGAAATTATCTAAGCTAATGAAAGTATGGAGAATCTCAGAAAACTTATGTTTAAAATTTAACAGTGACACTACAGGAGATACGAATTTATATGATAATCATATAAAGATCTAATCCCAATCGATTATATGATTGTTGCGTTGCTTTAGATCAAGACGTGTGAGCTTAAACAAGATAATGGTTAAATAAGCTTTTAGCTTTCACGATGAAAAATTTTTGGAGACTGAACGAGCTGTTAAAGTTGTTGAAATATTTGATAAACTAATGATTAAAAGTATTTTAACACAATATATTTCATATTATCATTTAAATTTTTTACTGAATTCTATAATCCTTTTTATATCTAATTTAAATAGATATGAAAGTTTATATGGTTATAAAGTTCAAATATTTTGTTCTCCACATTAAAAAAATTGGTAACTTATGTCTTATTAAAAGAACTAAAAAGTAATTTGTAGGATTTGAAGAACGAATCAATAAAAGTTAAACCAATTTAGAAAACTAGTAATTTAATAGTAAAAAGTCAAATTAGTAACCTTTAAATGTATTTTTAAAAAGTATAGAAAAGTGATTTCGTTATTAATCAGCATAAAATCATCTGGCTAACAGCTGGTTTATTAAACACTTCACTACTATTAGAAGTTAACGAAAATGATAAATCTCGTAATTTTTTCTATTACAAAAATTCGAATAAATTTATTTAGAATTTTGATATATTATATATATATATATATATATATATATATATATACATACTAAGATAATATAATTCATTAAAAGAAAAAAATTAAACATGCGACAAGAATAATTAATCTTAAAAATTGTTTTACAATACTTTTTTATAAATCGTTTTTATACGCTAATTTTTCGTACGAAAATGCATCGAATTTTAATTCGGTTAATATAAAAACTACATCCTTGTTTTGGAAAAAAAGTGCTTCAAGTGCAATTAAAATTTTATCTATTCTAAATAATGGAGCTCATTAAAGGAGAACTAGATAATCTTCATTTAGCTATATTAGATAATGAAGAGGTGAAAAATGAGAATTTGTAGTTTACAATTATTTATCTCTTAATATTATCTAAAACAATCAAATAATGTAATATTTTAATTAAATAAGCTAATACAATTTATCTTGATAATACTACAAACAATTTACCTTAAATAATATTAACTTATAAAGATCTATTTCATTTACCATGGTAAATGAATTATTATCCCCTAACATGTATGTTATAAAATCATATTTTAAAAAGTCTATTGTAACAGATGGTTCTTGCTTAATTTTTTTTCAAATAATATGAATATTCGTATAATCACTATGATTTAATAAATTTAACTTCAATTGTTTAAATAAAACGTTTAATAATATGATTATTCTCTAATTTAATTACTCACGAGATTAATTACTCCGTTTTGTATAGTTTATTATTCAAATTGACGGTAGTTGATAAATTTACGTTAAAACGATTATTTTAATATTGAATGTACTTAATCAGATAAATTATTTTGTAACTTTTATAATTTATACAAAAAATTGTTAAAATGTGAACTACATATTATATTATTTCAATAACAGGTTGTTCATTTATTGAATGGAATCTAAAAATCATTTTTAAAACTTTGATATTTACTTAACATCTGTTTTCTCTGGATTTATTTAATTGAAAAATTAAACGTAGAAACATTCGATAAAATTTTGTATGTTCTAAAACTAAATATAGATACATATTTAGTTATGGCAATGATATTAGTATTTGATTGACATTATAACTTTTTTATAATTTTTATTGTCTTTTTATCGTCTTCGCATCGCTTACCTGTTTATTCATGATTTTAGTATTTAAAAATATTTTTTTTTCCCATGATGTATTCCTAAGACTAATACTATGGAAATTGTCAGTATGACAAAATTAATAATTGTGGGAAGTATTTAACGTTAAATTTAAAAAACCCTAAATTTCCAGTTGTGTAGTTATGTAATCAAATACTAAATTTATATATATAATTTTATATTTCATTTTATGCTATCATTTTAAAACGTGAGGTAAAAAATTTTAATTTAATTGATTTGAAACGAAATATAAATTCATACAAATTTTTTTTATTGTAATTACTGTTACGAAATCAATTTCTTTTTGTAATTGTATATAAAATATAAATTCAAAACTTTGAGTGCATAGTCTATTCGTACAAATATATGTTAGTAATATTTCATATTTATAATTGATACTATTAATTATGTACACAACCCAAATGCAGTTAATTCTTGCATTTTTATGCTTGTAACTATTGTATGCTTGTTACTATTAGTACTGACAAAGATTTTAATACGAATAATATATTTATTTTTTAGTTACAAATTAAGTTGTTAATTGGAAAACAAAAGAATGTGTATTTATGATGCCTTTGAAAATAACGAATAGAACGAATTTTTGTATCAAATTTATTTAAATAATTATTTCCATGAATTATGTTTATATTGCCTTTATCATTCAACTGTGATAAATAAGGAAATGCTATGAACTTATTAAATTGTTTCACTGAATTTTAACACACGTTCATTGAAACTTATAATTAATATGTCGAAAACAATTATAGTAAAACTGATACTTATATATTTTGAAAAATACAATGTTTTTTAATTTATTTTCTATATGGAGTAAAACAACGAATATTATTGCCACTATTCTATTCATTAATCTTAGTAATTTAAAGATCAATATTTCATTTTACATATTACATATTTTATCTTCGTATATAAATCGTATATGAAGCTAAAAAAATTTAAACAAATTTTTTTTTTTATTATATTAGTAATTCTGAGTAACATTTTATTTTTCTTTTTATAACAATATAACTTCGTACGATTCTTAAGCGAGAAAATAAGAGAGAATGTTAATTATATTTGTTTGTTCCCTGACTTTAAATAACCAATGCAAACACATATAACTTTTGTTGTTAAGTACAGGAAAGAGATACCTGGATGCATGTATGATTGCTGTGAGTTAAATTTTCATAGGACTATTAATTCTTTAAATATTAAATAAGCGTTTGTGTATTATAAAATAAATTAATCGATTGATTTAATTATTTATGTAAATTTTGTTAATGTCACAAATGAATCCAATGTAACAATATTAGTTTTTAATATCTTACGTCTTTTATATTTTTATACAGAAAATATTGATTGTTATTTCGATGGTGATAGAGAATCAAGTCGAACGAGATTCGATGTCTGTAAATGTTTTCTAACCGTAGTCTAAGTTATCAAGTTTTAAAAATAAATCGATTGTGCAACCGGCAACTGCAAAAGTACTTTTTTTATGCCCATATATTCATCGTAATGTAGTTTTAAGTATCAAGTAGTTCTAAGTTATTTAATTGCAAATGGTTGTTTATCTTTTATAAACGAGAAAATACAATTACTGAAACGTCAACTTAATTGAATGCTTGATTCTTAAGTCGTCTATGAATTTATTTAATTCCATGATATAGATTTTTTTATATAAATAATACTGGCTACTAAAAAATACTTACATATAATAATAATAATATAATTAATATCTTTATTACTATTAATATACATTTAATTTAATCACGAGCACAATAGATTTATATTTACTGAGGTGAAGTTAAATTAAAGTTTATGAAAAAAATAGATTTTTTTCCAAGAATTTAATTAATAATAATTTAACCCTCTTATAATTGTAATATTATCTATTATTTTTTAACTTTTTATTTAATTGATCGGCCAGGGAAAGTACTTTTAGTCATATTTACTTTCATACTTATTGCCGGAGGATTTACGTTTGCCTTTTTACATGATATTGTCTTCTCTTGATTTTTCACTACTATTTAGATGAATGTCAAGATAAACTTGTTCGTGAAGACCATTTGTAAAAATTATTGTTAAAGACAATAATAAATGTATTATATTATTAACTGGTGTTATTATTTAAATCCCTTGTTTATAATTAATTCCTATATTCTAAAGGCATGTTTTATTACACAATTCATTCATTTGGTTTACCTAATTTTATGAGTATTATTATAAATACAAAATTTATTTACAATACTTTAATTTACAAAAGTTTATAATACAAATAATGTAAATATATATCATTTTATAATAAATAATATTATGAATATAATAAAAAATATTATAAAACATATATTATGATGTATTTTATAATATTTTAATAATTCTAATAGCAATGTTAATTATTAAAAAAATTCGCAATTAAATTCTAGTAAATAAATAGTTTATTTATACTCAATGAGATATTATTTAATAACATAAAATAGTATAAAAATGCAATTAATGTAATTAGTATTAATTTAAGTATTTACATAAGTTATACTTATAAAATAAAATGTATATAAAAATGTTATACTTATAAAAAGTCATAACTAACTTATGGTTATAATTAATATTTTTTTAATTTATTACATATATTGAGAAAAAGTATTTTTTAAATATTTTACAAAAATATATAGTTTGATAAAAAATTGATTTTTACTTTTATTATTTCATAAATTGGGGGGGGGGGACTTTAATATAAAATTAAATGTTTTAGATTTTATCAAAATAAGAAAAATAATACACACACAATGCATTAAAAGAACATGTATTTCATAATATATTTATTATCATTTTTATTAGTTTAATTAAATTAATTAAGTTAAAGTCGTTTTATTAGCAGAAAATAGAATCTTCTACATTAAAATTTTTATAACTTTGTTCAGAAATTAGTTTAAGTATAGATTGTTTTTTACATTTGTGTGATATTTCAGATTTTAATATTATTTGAATTATATTCGTTGTAATCAATCAATACAATTGCATTATATTAATTATTATTTTCATAAGTTATAATTAATCTTATTCGGTACTGTACAATATTTAACTTTAATGTTTATTTAGATTTATTGAATAATTGATTTTTATATTAAATTCCAATCTTTAATAGTCATATAAAATACTTCTTATATTTTAGTTCAACCATATATTTCGATTGATACATAAGCATAAAATATATTATTTTCATTGATATAACATTATGATTTGTATTGATGATCGGGGATACAGTTATAATAGAAGAAATGGTTTGCATATAAATGTTTATTATTAAATATTTTGAAAAATTATTTGCTCATATGTTATTTGTGAACTGACATAACGGAATAATTAATATTTTATATTGAAGTTACAAATTCATTATAAT